CGGGCAAGACGTCGGGCGCGAGCACGCCATCGAAGGCGCCCAAGTTCATGCGGCAGATCAGCCTGGGTCTTCGCGGTTTCGGCGTGGCGGCGCCCAAGGTCGTGGCGGCGGAGGCGAGTTTCGAGACGGTGGGCGCGCTGACGGAGCAGAGCGTCACGAGCCCGACTACGCCGCTCGTCATGTCCACCATGCCGCGGCCGTCGTCGCCGCAGGTCATCAAGCCCGCCTTGTCGATGACGCCGGGGCTCTTCCGGTCTGACTCAAGGGATACGCTGAAGGATCTGCCGAGCACGCCGAGCATCCCCATCAACATGAAGTCTTCCGGTCGGAGTCAGAGCTCGGTGGCCCAGCAGCACAAGTACGGGTCTGTCCTGCCGCCGTCGTTGGCGAGGAAGGAGATCTTCCTCGAGGACCGCGATCAGCGGCATTCGAACGTTTTCAGGGCGGAGGACGATAACCAGAAGATGTTCAACAGCAAGCTCAGAGCCGGGGCGATGCCGGAGCTGCCGTCTACGCTGTCGCCCACGACGGCCATCTCGCCCTGGCTGACGGTGCTGAACCCGTCGAACCCGGACCGGAACAAGGTCGACGACACGGTGCTGTACAGCCGATGGCAGCACGTGTTCCCGCGGACTTCGGAGATGAAGGTGATGAAGTGGAAGGCGCTGTGCTGTCCCGCCGCGGTGCCGCTGACGACGGAGTACTTCCCCAGCAAGACGCAGTTCGACACTGAGTACCAGCGGCAGCCGTACGTGATTGCGCAGAACGCGGACGACGAGCTCAGCGAGGAGCCCAAGTCGCGGGAGGAGTTTCTGCGCGAGCTCATCAGTCTGCGGTTCTCGCAGGGGTTCCAGGTCGTGATCGGGCCGTCGGTGGCCAAGGCTTTCGGGCAGAGGCTACTGCGGATCGCGGACATTTTCTCGCGGGACCAGGCGATGGAGGACGGGACGAGCATATTTATGAGTGTGGGTAACGTGATTCACCAGCTTTCGTGCGTCAACGGGACCGAGGTGGAGGTGAATATCTACATTCGCAAACCGGCGGCGTCGACGATTGGGAGGAACGCGACCGGTGGGCCGCTGTATCGGCCTGCGATTCGTACGTTGATGGATTCCGGGTACCAGACGCAGGAGGTTGACATCTCGACGCCGAAGCCGGAGAGGAACTGGAACTACATCGATTCCTACCTGGCGGGGCATCACGACGAGATGACGGAGAATCTGAGGTTCTGGAGGGCGAGGTTCGTGTTGATCCCGATGGTGTCTCGGTACTCTGCCGTGCCCAGGAACCAGGCCGGCGACAACGCGGAGGAGGTGCGGTTGGAAGGGATCAGGAGGCTGTCGCTGTCGTGGCAGAAGCATCGGTACCTCCCGCCCTCTGAGAGGCGGTATCAGACTGTGAACACGCGACGGGACCCGAATCCGCTGGATATCGTGTACAAGACGGAGGACCCGTCCGTCGTGATTGCGGCGGAGCTGGACAACCTCCCACTGGTCGAGGGCATGGATGGCAACCGCAGAGGGCAGCTCATTTCATCCAAGGAGCGGTTCCGCAAGTCTGGGTTGAATCTTGCCGCGTTGGCCGAGGCGATCCAACAACCCGTCGAGAGCGGCGGCGTGAAGCTGCAGAACCGACGGTGGCATTTACGACTGCATTACAACTGCTTCATCGGCTCTGACATGACGACGTGGCTCATGGATAACTTTGAAGACCTGGACAGCCGCGAGGAGGCGGAGCAGCTGGGCAAGATGCTCATGGTGGAAACGTACGAGCGGTCCGACGACAAGAAGGACCGCGGGGGCCTATTTGAGCACGTTGAGCGCCGGCATCCCTTCAGAGACGGACAGTATTTCTACTCTATCGCTAGCGAGTACGCCAAGCCACAGCCTGGGTGGTTCAACTCCCGCCGCAAAGACCTCTCGGTCCCGTCCACCCCCATGTCGGAGACGATGCCGCGCGACTCGCCGCGCATCTCCCGGCCCATGTCCATCAACGAGGAAAATTCGCCCAACTCCGGGTCGACCACGCCAACGGCGTCCATCATGTTCAACAACAAGAAGATGCCCAAGGTGGTGCTCAGCAAGGTGATCAAATACGACGTCGACCACCGCAAGCGCTCATACCGCCCGGAGCGCATCGATTTGCACTACGACAGGCTGCACAACCCGGACAACTGCTACCACATCCGCATCGACTGGATGAACGTCACGGCGAAGCTCATCGAGGACGTGGTCGAGGGCTGGGCGCGCGAGGCGGCGACGCACGGGTTGAGGCTCGTCGAGGTGCCCATCAAGGAGGCGTGCTCCATCACGGAGGTCAACCCGTTCCGGCGGCCGTACGTGATCAAGCTCGCGGCGCCGCCGCCGGCGCAGCAGCCCGTGACGTACTACGAGCCCGGGTCGTTCGCGCCGCAGACGGCGCCCGGGAAGCACTTTTACCAGAAGGCGCTGATGCGCCGGCTGGATTTTGTGCTGGACATGGAGGCTGCGGCGGATTTTCCGAGGGACGTGGAGGTGAGCTACAGCTGGGGTCGGCCGGAGTTCAAGTACTCGCAGTACATACACCGGTCGGGCGTGCTGCTGGCGGAGATCACGGACGAGGGAGACTTTTTGGTGCTGGCGAACCGGCTGTTTAGCAACCGCGCGTCGGCGGCAAGGGAGAAGGAGTTGAAGGATATGCGGGAGGCGAGTGCGGCAGGGGGAGGAGGGAATAATGTCGTGGAGAGGGCGGGGCGTATTATCCCTGTCGGGAGCTACACGCCGTTTGGGATCCCGGAGCCGACGCCGATTAGCTCGCCGATGGTGAAGCCCGTGTTCTACGCGGGCGGGTCGCCTGCCTTGAGAGGAGGCGCCGTGAAGGAGGCCGCACCGCCGGCACCGCCGACGGCCGTGGACCCGATCGCGCTGCTGCTCGAGGTGGAGCGGTTCTGCAAGGACGAGAAGGGGCTGGAGGCGTTCTACCGGGAGACGCTGGAGCGGGGCCCGCCGCAGGCGATGACGACGCCCGGGGCGATGCGGCCGACGACGCTGGAGGCGGTGCCGGAGGCGAGCATTCCGAGTCTGAACATGCCGGCGGGGGTGCTCGGGGATCTGGGCGGCGGTGGAGCGGGAGGGGCGATGGGGTTGGTGGGCAGCGAGAGGAGCGGGAGCGTGGGGGGAGGGAGTCCGAGCCCGGGACCGAGGATGATGAGTCCGGCGGACGGGATGAGGTTTTTGAGGAGGGCGAGTGTGCAGGATGGGCTCGGGTTGGGAGGTGGGCCGAGGGGAAGGGAGAGGGAGAGGGATTGAGTGAGAGTGAGGGTGAGGGTGGGCGAAGTCATCCAGACTTGTCTATAGTGTAATCTTTTGAGTGTATGATGAGATTTAGAACATACGTTACGATTTAGATGTCAGTGGTTTGTTTTCTGCTGTGAATTTGCGACTTTCTTTTCTGTACCATGAACCTGAGGCGGAAGTCTCTTTTAAGAAAGATCTGTTCTTCTGTGTCGTCCAATAGCTCAGATCTTGTACCAAGTTCAGCAATAACCAGCATGTCGACGACATGTTTACGTTGGGCACTGGTTGTATTATGCCGATTCTCTGATCGAGGATGAGCCACCAACTTCCGACTTACACAATTGTCGTCTCGCCATCAGTGTCTCACACAACTGTGGGGCCACAATCGCACGCCGCCTCCACGGCATTTCTGTTTGCCAAACTGTTCAAGCTCGCGCGCGATCACTTTTGCCTGATGGATATAGCAACCCAAGAGGCCTTCGGAATCGGAACTTGGTTTCCAAGGTTTCTTGTCTCACTGCATAGGACTAGTCTCTTTGTGTCGTGCGGCCTTGGAGTTTCGTCCCGCTCTCGTCCCCACCCTGTACCCTCAGCCTGCTTCGCGCCAAGGACGGTGAACACCAATCAATATTCTCTGCATCCATTTCCAGCTGCTGACCAACGGCAGTCTCATGAGAATAAGATCAATGGAGACTGACTTGGACGGCATGATACGGTCTTTGAATTGGATTGAAAGGCAAAGTTTTGATCTTGGGCAGTAGGCTGAGTGGTGACACGCGTGCGTGTGTGGGTGTGTAGAGTGTAGATACAGATAGCCAAGCACGGCAGGCCGTAAAGCATGACAATCAGTGGACATCAGAACAGAGGCTTTAAGGCACAAGCAGCTCGTTCCCCTCACACACGTGACATTCTGCATGTAAGCCCAACGAATTTGAGTACCCACAGTTGGAACACGATGCACTTATATACATGGGTGTAGCAAGATTTGACCGCTCGATTTGCAGCGTTTCTTTGTATATCATACAGATTCCAACACGATGCAATCGATATTCGAGGGTATACTCTGCGAAACACGTACCAGCATTCCGTTTCAGCGGGTACATGAGGACTGGGTCACAGGTGTGAGCCATTCTTTCTCCTTGCAGTTTCGTAGTGTGTCAGATGTGCGCGGCCGAACAGATTGCTCATTTTGCAAGTTAGTATCCCAGGGACTCTCTATGAAACGTGGCCTCTCGGAATCCACCGTTGTCACAGTCAACTGGGATTCAAGTTTCTACCGGATTTGTGGTACGGAATTTCCCTTATTAACTTATATCTATCTCCTCCGCGATAGGAGGGTGAGGATTCTCGACAAAAGCCTTGGCGTTTCTCGCATCCGCCAGTGGATAAGCGGTTGTTCAGAACACCACGAAGACTGTTCAGTTACACAGGCTACATCTGATGACGAGATACCAAACTTCCGCGCCATTGACGTATCCCTCAAATGCGTTGCTCCTACACCAAGCAGCGTCAAGTATGTCACCCTCAGCTACGCTTGGGGACGAGTAAGCACGTACCGATTGTTGAAGACCAACGTGCGGGATCTCATGAACACTGGAGGTCTTACTAGAGTTTGGCAAGATATTCCTCGGACGATAAGAGATGCTATTCCGCTGGTCGAAGCTATCGGGGTAAAATTATCCCTGGGTTGACACATTGTGTTTGATCCAAAATGATGTCAACGATATGATCCCTGGCATGAAACACATGGACATGGTCTACGGTGGAGCCTTTTGCACAGTCATTGCTGCAAGTGGCGAAGACGCAAACGCTGGGGTTCCTGGCATGGGAAGTTTACCTCAATATAAACTGTACACCAGCGAAGTCCACCCGGGGATCAAGTTGATGTTGAGTCAGGGGATGGATACACACTTAAAGCGGACTCAGTATTACACACGAGCTTGGACGTGAGTAGCGCATGGCAACCTAAGCCACCACTTATGCTTCGGAAAAGAATAATGATCTTCTGTTCACCATAGATTTCAGGGATACTTCCTGTCTCCTCCACGCATTGGGTTTGACAAACATCAGGTCTACTACCTCTGCCGCTCAAATGCTTGGAGCGAAGAGGAAGAAGAAATACGAGACTGGGGTATATCGAATGATGGCAGCGTGATGCCTATGCTGCAAAGTTATTGGAAGAATATCAAAACCCACATCCACGACGCAATTATGACTATTCTGTTCTACTACACGGATCGGCAATTGTCATAATTACTCATCGGATATTCTCAACGCCATGGACGGCATTTGTCGTACTTTGTCAATCCACTGCAAGTGCAGCTTCTTCCAAGACATGCCTGTTGCGGCTCTCGATCTGTATCTCTTATTTCTTACGACCAACACTCTTGAGCGCCGCCCGGGTTTCCCTAGCTACACATGGGCTGGTTGGCGTGGGTAGGTGTTCTTCGACGACTTCTACACTCTTAAAGGGATGGTGGATCCTGCAATAAAGAAGAGTGATTGGCTCTCCAACCATCCATGGATCATTTGGTACAAATATGAGCCACTGAACGGAGCAGTCTCACTCGTGTGGGATATCAACCAAGAACCCGCTTTCCTCGAGGCGACGGCGGATGACGTAGGGTACCGTAGTAGACGAGTATTCCGACCCGGACGAGTTACTGTTGACCATACTCAATATCCGTACCCGCTTCTGCAATGTTGAACTGCCACAACATACCCCAAAGCCATTCTTTCCAAAGAGGAAATTTTGAGCGAAATCAAAGATTTGGTGCTCAATCTTTTTAATTGAAACGGCGACTATTGTGGCTATGTGCACGGAAACAAAGCTTCCACTGATATCCGCACCGACGACTCGGAACCGATTGAGCTGATCCTATTATCTGAGTGCTGGAAACCAGTTAACGAGAAGGAGAAGTATTCGTTGACAGATATTCACCAAGGCATGGACAGATACCGTATAACTGAAACCTACTCCAAAGATATGTTATAAAGGAAAGAATTTATTCTGGGCCTTGTGGATTCATGGGGACGGCAGTGTAGCGGAGAGAGTTGGTACCGCGCACATCTTTCAATCAGCTATGGAAGAGTCTCTTGAACCGAGGCCAGTTTGAAAAGAAATACTTCTGGGCTGAAAAACGGGGATTGTCGCATCCCTGGACATATAATAGCAATTGAAGGCACCACGCTCTACAACCCTTTGTTGTTTCAGTTGAAATGCAGGCGCACGAGGGTGCAGGACGGGTTTGGACTTCCGAGGACAGGAGGAGAGGAATAGTGGCATAGAAAAAGATTGAACGCCGTGAAAAGTATCAACGGGCGGTGAGAGTAGTCACTTTTGCGACATAATTGTTTGACGACTACGGGACCCTGACTTATTGGTGGAAAAGCTCTACCGAATACTTGGTGACGTCGGTTTAAAGATTTCCCTGGATTATTCCCATGCCTAAAACTCTGTCGTCAGAGTATTATGGTGCGTATGTGTGCGTCGATGAATATTTATAGACTACCGAAGAAATCAGTACCTAGTGAAATTAAGGAGCACCTTTGCCATCATGTCATCCAGCCAGATATCTTATTGATTTGACTTCTTCATGTAGAATAGTGAAGCCCGTCTTTCTTCACCTTTTCGTGCTGACTTCGTTCAGCAGCCGGCGAGATGTTAGCAAATTGCCCGTGGCATCTGTAACCCCCACCACCGCCTGCATAGCGAGTCTAGACAAGACCAATCACCACTTACAGAGTTACGTCTCCGATTTCAATTCAGAGGGGCCTTATCTGCTATTGACAAGGCGGACAGTCCTGCTTGGATCTTTCCAATATTTTATGCGGGGTTATGCGCGAGCTGAGGCAAGGTAATCTACCATCTTGCATGAGGCTGAGTGCCGAGATGCCTTAACTATGACCCTGCACATGGGCCGCAGCGGGGATCCATGTTGGTATTGCCCCTCATTGGAGCGTTCATATACCGATCGCAAGTCCTTCCACAACTGGAGTCAATAGCATCGCCTTTTGCAGCAGGCTGTGTAACAATGTCTCGGCGACTGACTATTCTCAGCAATAGTTGCAGGAATTTTGCCAGCTGGTGTCTTGGCTGCGTCTGTGGCCGAATTAGATCGAAATGGGCGGTGTTGGCTCAATATTTTCTCTTTCTCCGAAGAAATGATATGAGGAAACGAGCCTCTCCATCTACCAACTTCCAGCTCTCCTTCACATGGTCTCCGTGCTTGCCATCACACAGCCGACATGGCCTCGTCGGGAGAATTTGATGGCGATGACTTTTCCAACAATCTGTTCAGCGATCTTGCTCCCCTTCTCACACTTTTCGGGGAGCAAGTAACCATACAATTCCTGAGTCTAAGTATGGGCTGGGCGGACAACTTTCTCATCGCTATGGGTCCGCTTGGGATTATCACCACCGTCATTAGCGCCATTCGCATCGGCGGCGGTAGGACGCTCAAAACCCTTATTGGGCGGTAGGTTCTATGAAATCGTCGTAACCCAAATACTAACAAAATCCCTTCATAAAGGGCGCGAGAAACTCAGGCTGTTTCGGAACAGGAGCTTCTATCGTCGACATCCTCGAATGTCTGCGAGCTGTGGAATGGCCAGCAGGTTACACGAATAATCGGAGAACCCAAAGAAACATCGACTGTTGTAATCTCGCGGGACGGCACTATTTATACTCTCCGTCGCGCTTATCGAAATGGCCTCATTACGATCAAAAATACCGACAGCAATGCAAGTAGCAGCAGCCACAGGGATGTACACAACAATTATAATAGCAAGAGAAGCACAGGCAATGTTAGTAACAACTCTCAAAGCGATCAGAATGAGGAATACATCGACGACGCGAACTCCGCCTCTTTGGATCTGCCGACCAATCTCACACTCAACACCCGCTCCGCTCCTGCTTCGAAATTAGAATTGTGGTCATGGGCAGCACTTGGAATTGCTCTTCAGACAATTGCACTGGTTTTCCCTGGAATCACAACGCACTATTGGAAGTGGAATAAGGGTGACAGTCCTGTGGCTGCGTACGGCTACCCATGCTTTGTCGTGGGGACCGTAAGCTTGACCATAGGTTTAATATTATGTGGCCACATTATAGAGGGTGCAACAATAGAGACCGACTTCGCCCTTACCAAGGAATCAAAGAGGCAGGGCCTGAAATTCATTTGCTTACAGAAAGCTCTTTCACTCGGCGACCAAGAGTACCCTGCTTGCGCAATAATTCTCGCTCCGACGCATGGTATTCTGACAACCTCACGAAGTAGTTATCTGAACCTCGGTCATGTTTGGTAAGAAAATCATGCTTGATCTGAACCTTGATAATGATTGTTCAATAGGAGCGGAGCTACTCTGTCGACATTTCTCACCATTTCGGGATATGTAGTGCAGTTTGTTGGGCTCCGAGCTCTTCATTGGTCAGCCGCGATTGTCCAGCTTGCTGTAACTATAGCCATGACAGTCGTTCGCGCCTTCGCAAGAAGAAACCTTGCATCTACCCCAACAACATCAGACTTAGGCTTACAGTTGCACTTTATTCCATGGCTTACACAACAACTCAGATTAGAGAGTGAGAAGGGACCTATGTCAAAAGGCGCTCAATCTGGCCTTGGAAAGCTCTTTAAAAGGTTGCGCCACAAAGCAAATCGCGAAGAGGAAGTCGACTCCGAGAGACTCCAGTTCTTCTGCGAGCTTATTTCGGATCATTCCGAAGAAAGTAGCATCAGAATCGACTCGTTGGATGACATACACTTTTCAGCATCTTCCGCTCTTCCAATGAGAGACATGGGAGGCTACATCTGTAGCCAGCTGCTTCAGCGAACGGCAAGGCCCTTGCAGGTATCCTTTGAGTTTCGTACAGGAGACTCAGTTGAGAATGACGAACCCGAGACTCATGGCGCCGCAGAATCGTTGAGAATCCATGCGCAGATCGTCTCTGGCACCCCAAAGACAATGGATACGCCCGAAAAGACTGCCTCAGCAAGGGCTTCAAAAGCGCTATGCAAAGTCATCGAGAAAGTGATGGGGCTTTTGATTGGCAGCGATGAGTTCATTTGGGACGAGCAGATCGAAGCACTCCTCACCGACAAAAAGCGAGAAAGCCCGCTTCGTATTTATTGGGGATTCGACATGCGTGAGGGTCGTGTTTCGGGATTCAGGGAAAAGGAAGCAACTCAAAAGCATGTTCGGGTTGCCTTCCGACGAGCCCTTCCCGATCGCCTGTGGCATCTAGATTCCCAAAGTCGTAGCCAGCTATGGGCAGCCATATCCTTATCACTCTACACTGACGCATACCGATGGTTGTGCGCCGATGGACAAGCTCGCCAGACCAAGCAAACTGCTGATGCTGCTGATCACGATTTCCGACGTATCGTTGGATACGCAGCCAACGCTGAGGTCTCTGAGAAGAAAGCGAAGATTCAGGAATGGCTTACGTGTTCTATTGACACCGGAACATCTTCCATCTTACGAGAGGAGGAAAAAAGGGTTTCGCTGCAGAAAATCATAGACGAAGCTACTGGGAAATCGAACGAGATGACAGCAGGATTAAGACAACCCATGCAACAAAAGGTGTCCCGAAGACCCAAGATCTCCGGGCGCGGAGCAGAAGATATGGCACGAAGGATCAAGCGAGGGGTCTCTAAATCATACCTCGGCGTTTTCCTTTCGTCGTCTGCGTGCGTACTCTGGCTGAAATCTTCTACGAGCTTCTGCTGACTGATTTTGACCCATAGCGATGATTTGAGGGGCTACAAGCAGAGCGAATTCGAAGAGTTCCTGGTCAAGACCCGCCCTAAAGTATCCAAAGGCTTTCAATACGCTCAAGAGCTATTTTCTCTTTTCATTCTCGCCGTGGCCTCAAAGACACACTCAGTCAAAGGCAAAACAGTTAGAAAGGTTCCAGAGGATGGGACGGGTCGAGTGTTCCTGGAGAACTCTATCTTCAAATCGATCGCTGAAATCGTCCTGGAAGAGGAGCTGGCAAAGAGCAAGGATGAAGCGTACACCTTGATCATACCGGCATTTTTCAAGCACAACCTTCTACCAACTCAGCTAACTCAGCCTGACCAGACCTATCGACAAGAGACGGAAAGTGATGAATTCTCACCCTTGTAACGTGCTAAGAGTTTGCTCTTGGGACAGGAAATCAAAGCCAGGCGCAATGACATGGAGAATTTTGAACGGAGACCTAAAACCTTGAGTCCACCATGTCTATCGAATTGGCGGTTTTATGATTGGCGATTTTTTGTTTGAAGGAATCTTCGGGCTCTGCTTTTCAAGTTTACGTCTTCCACTTGATTTCAAGTCTGTTTGCTATGCGTTTGTTTTCGGTATTTCTGGACTATGAGAAACGCTCTGCTTCATTGGATTTTCGACCTTCTTAATATGTTCTCAGTCTCTCCTCCTCACGTTTTGGATTTACTTCTCACATTTTCAGAGTATTCTCCCAAACCTTGGCCTTCAATTTCAACAATTGACCGTCCTTCGGGGGATCAATGTGGCTTCAACAAGCCTTGAAAACCAGTTATAAGAGTGCTATGAGTGTCAAGCATACCGCAAATGTTATGAAATTATCGTCATAGTTCTCCAAGGACTCATACAGGGTCTAGCTAGGTGAATGCCATACCAATTACTGCAGGGTCGCCCGTTAAAGGTGAAGTCTTGGAAAGGCATCTGACTAGAAACCTTTGGGAGGAGGGCCTAGGTTAGAAGGCCAAGCTTAAACGATAACGTTGCTTCTAGAATCTCCCCCAACCAGTGACCAAATTAAACACGGATTATGTGAAGTCAGCTTTGCGGTCTCAACGACGCTGGAGAATTGTGGCGGTGCCAGTAGAATTTGCTGTCTGCCTCGGTGTGGCTTGCGTGAAGCGGGTCCAGAGCGAGCTGCGCCACGATCGGAAACATCCGCAGCTTTGAGTTGTCGGGCTTGGCGTCACATGACCCCATTCCCTCGATCGGGATGCGGGAGGCCAGCAGCCGGCGCCGCCACTTACGCTCAGCAGATTAGAGCCCAAAACCGTGGCGGCTTGGGCAATTGCGGGCGGGAGGAAAATGGCTGGCTATCGAATTTACGCATCTTTTTTAGGCCAAAAAAACCCCAGTCCACCTGACAACAAGCCTTCCCGCGTCTCCGCGAGGCTTGTCGAAACTCTATCCAGGCCATCGGACGGATCTTGCCATTCAAAGGATGAGCTTTCGTCGTGGGCGAGGGCTTGAACGAGGCGATGTCGCGGTATTTGAGTTGGGCTTACGGGAGATGCGCCTTCGCTGTCAAGCTTCGTTTACCCCTGTCCATCCATCGAACTTGTGCCTCGTTCAGGCTTGGGATCCGGTTTGTGCTGATGATGGATATCAGACGAGAAAGCATGTTGTCAGCTTTGCAATGCGTCGACGAGTCGTCGTCCATGACGGTCTGGCCCAAGAGAGGGGGGAAGCGTTGGTGGTGGTGGTGTGTGTGAGAGAAGCTTGTGGCTGGCTACTCGGAAGAGTGCGCGCGTGCTTGTGCTGTGGCTGATGTCATTCTGCATGCAGCCTCGATTTCAGGTGTAGTCGAGACAAAGACCATCAGAGCTCGACGCCACCGTATTCCCATTTTGGGCCGCAGGTTGGGCGACCAGACCAGATCCCAACGGTCGGCATTTGCAGTTTCAATCCTGTGCAGTTGATTCCTTTCGGACAATTCTTGTGTTTAATGAGGCGACTGAGAAAAGAAGCAATAGCCAAGAGAACAGATCGACTTGGCAGGGGATTTGCGAGGTGCTTGAGTGTGCTTGGCCGCGCGGTGTTACGTTCCTTGGCGAAGCTTGTTTTGGGCGGTTTCTGCTGTGGTGAGTGGGATTCGGGGCAAGTGGCGCGTCTTGGCACGTCGCCGGGGGTCTCTGACGACATGCCCTGTTTCTGCTCACTTTCTTCTCTCTTTTTTCCTCCTCTGTTCATCGAAGCTCTCGATTTTCTCCGTGCCCAACTCAATTGCGCGCACAGAAAACAAACACACTCGGGATTCCATCATCCCAAGGAGCAATAGCAGCCAATGGTTCGCAGAGGAGAAAAACATTAAAGCGAAAAGGGGGCTTTAATTGGCGGGCCCCGCTTAAGCGATGGCCTGGCGCAACGGCATTGGATCAGAGGAGAAGACTGGTAGGGAGCGACACGCTTGTTGCACAGAACGGGATAGGCGAAAGTGACGGAGTCGATTCAGGGAAATTAGCGCTGCGCGTCGACGTGGTAGCGCAAGCAGGCCTTCTCTGGCTCTTTGGCACTTTGGTGCACTTTAGAGTGGACTGACGTAGGAGTCTGCAGTCCCCCGTTGTCCCTTGAAACTGGTGGATGGATGGATGGTGGACGAGGGAGGTCCTCTGCACCAGCCAAAGAAAACAATGATGCTCATCGTCCACCGTCCAGGAGTCGATGCTTAATTACTTCTTGGCACCCTTCGTTTTTCATCCCATCCTTTCCCTTCTCTTCCTTTCCCATTTCCCACGGTCACCACTCACCCCTCCGCCCCGGTATCCGTCTAGCTTAGCTTCATAAGCTTTGTTCGCAGCAGCAAGCACCGCACACTGCCCAGCTAAGCCCGACAACATTACGTTTGGCAAGGCAGTCTACGGTACCTACCTACCTTACGGATTACGGATACTGCGCATCTTCCGGACAAGTGAATACCTACCTACCTACCTACCTACTCGCAAGCAACGCACGACTCGCACTCGTTCCAGAGCTTGCCCACTTTTCCGCAGACACAGCCTCAATCTGTCACTCCGAGGGTGCATAGCGCTAGGTTACTACAACCGCCGTCGCGACTAACCAGCACCACCGGTGGCCACCCGATCACATTTTTCGCCTCTGTTTCCTCCATCCGAAGGAGACACAGCCCGAATCGCATCTGCAGGCACACAAACGGCCGACACGTCGCCGTCTACACCGCAGTCCCTTAGCCCCAGTAGACAACGAGTCTTGGCTTGCGCGTCTCATTCTGCTGTGCTGTGTTGGCTTGCCTTCCCGCTTGTCAATCTCACCATCGCCAACCGGAGCCCCGTTTTTGCTCATCTCCGGCCGGCAGCGGGTATTGTCCGATCAATACTACCACCCTTTGCCAAGGAGGCCTCTCCCATCACCGCGCCACGGTATTCTTCGTATATTGCTGTGTACCTGTTGTCGTGTGCTGTCGACACTTTCGACGTTATTCATCCAACCAGGAATTCGGCACAAACCACACCACCAGCATCCCCGACCACTGCTCGGTTCGCGTGTTTCGTCTCAACATTCGGCCGCTGATCTGAAGCGATCTGATCTTTGCCACTACAAACTCCAAAGCAAGCACAGGCGCTCAGCCGGCAACCCGTCGTCAGCATGAACTCCTCAACCTGTAAGTCCGGCACCAAGAATCCCATTGACATCTCCCTTATTACCCGCCCACCCCCGTTCCTATCCCCAGTCACCGTTGCACCCGTCGATACCTTGGCGGAAAAGAAGAAAAGAGACACCATCAAATCATCTCTTACCTAACCCCGTCCTTTCCCCCTCACCCCCATCACGAACTCCTGTCTCTCCCTTTCTTGGCGTCGTCGTCGGTGGGAAGCTATCCCCTTAGACCGCTGCTCTAGACGCCGTAGTCTATCCATCTTCCCCCAATCACCTGTCGCCTCGAGCGCGGATTTGACCAATTCTCGCCTATTCCCCCCGTCGCCTCGCATCCCCTCCCCACATCATTCCCACACCTCACTCCACATCGAAGGTTTCACGTCATCACCCAATCTCACTTAACGAACCGCTCCCTTCACACTCACTCACCTCACCCGTTCTTCTCCAACTTCTCATTGCTGCTCTGCGTCCCGCCCGTCACTAACCATGCCCGACCTCGTCGGCTCAGTCAACCACTTTGACATCAAACGCAAAGCTCACGGCCTCAGCCGCAAGAGCACAGAGCAGACATGGAACCCGTTCCGCCATGTATCCTGGGATAACCGCCCCAGCAAGCGCTCCACTTGGGACGGCGCCAACCTTGAGGCCCAGCGCGAGGTCCCCAGCAGAGCCGCCGAAGACGCAGAGACCGAGGAGCCGATACACCACGTCCAGAGCGAGCCCGCGCCCCGGGACTCCGACACCGTACGCAGCCTGAGCAAGGACACGAGGACAGGGAGCGGCAGCGGCGAGACCATGTTCGAGAACAAGAAGGAGCAGGAGGCAGCGGACACCGGCTTGAGGAATCGAAAGACCGACGCCGCGGGCGCGAACGAGCGCTCACCACCCGACGAGGAGGAGAGGGAGAAGCCCAAGAAGCAAAAGTCCGGCCTCATCCGCCACGTCGAGCCCAAGCAGCCTTTCACCGTCGCCAACCAGCTGCAGAGGACGCTGCTCTGCTCGTGGATCAACATCCTGATCCTCGCCGCCCCGGCCGGCATCGCCATTTCCTACGTCAACGTCAGCAAGATCGCCGTCTTCGTCGTCAACTTCATCGCCATCATCCCCCTCGCCGCCATGCTCGGCTTCGCCACGGAGGAAATCGCCCTGCGCACCGGCGAGTCGCTCGGCGGCCTCCTCAACGCGACCTTCGGCAACGCCGTCGAGCTCATCGTCGCCATCATCGCGCTGGCCGAGAACAAGCCGCTCATCGTACAGACCTCCCTCATCGGCTCCATCCTCTCGAACCTGCTGCTCGTCATGGGCTTCTGCTTCTTCTTCGGCGGCCTGCGCCGCCCGGAGCAGTACTTCAACACCACCGTCGCGCAGACCGCCGCGTCCCTGCTCGCGCTCGCCGTCGCCTCCGTGATTGTCCCCAGCGTCTTCGACAAGAACGACGGCACCAACAACCCGACCCACGTCGCGCAGCTGTCGCGCGGCACCGCCGTCATCCTGCTCATCATCTACGCGTCGTACCTCTTCTTCCAGCTCAAGACGCACTCGGCCGTCTTCAACGAGGAGTCGCAGAAGGTGGCCGCGAAGCCGTGGTCGCGCGGCGGACTCAAGGAGGGCGCGCTTGGCCGTGGCTTGGCTGGTGCCGGCGCGCGCATGGCGCAGACGGGCGTGCGCGACCACGACGAGCGTGCCGAGCTCAGCCGGATTATGATGCAGCGCCCCAAAGAGGGCGAGGACGACGATGACGAGGAGGAGGA